GAAAAGCTGCCATTTCTAAATTAAAGCAGTTGCTGAACTGGCAAAATAACTCATCAACTTGAAGCCAATCCTGAAAGATTCCCAAAAGAGTCAACCTATTACCAAAGCAAACTGATTGATAAGGCCAGTATTGATCTGCCAAGAGCAAGGGATGCCTTTGCTGATGCCTTTGGAAGCTCTTCCCACTGCAAAGCACTGGGAATTCAGCAGGATGGGCCACAGGGAAATCATCAGGCAACAATAATAAAAGGAGAGAAGAAAATGAAGGCATCTCAAGCCTTCACTAGATGGGTTTTTGATTCTCCTTTTTCCCATGAATTAATGTCATGTTCAGGCTGTGATATTCCTTGGAAAAACAAGGAAAAACCACTGCTGTCCAACATCCAGCTATTTAAAGCACCTACAATAACTGTACAATAATTCTATAAAAAGAACTGATGCAAAACTGCAGACAAAAAACCAAACTGAGCTAAAAACCAACCCCTCTGGGTGTCCCTGGCAGGATCTGAGGTTTTCCCAGGCTGCTGTTGTGAAGCAGCACTGGTTTATTCAGACACAAAAGAATTAAGGCTGCTGGGGAAGATGTGGTTTAGAAATTCAGTGTCCAGTGAGGATCTGGATGTTTGCATGCACATGGATATCCATCCCTGCAAATAGAGATTTGATGCTGCTGCCTCGTGGAACTTTATTGCATTTTCTGCTGTTTTCCCACCGGGTTATTGAAATTGAAATTCTTGCTCCTGCAAGAACAGAGGATTCACAAGGAAATCTGCAGTTTGCAGGCACCAAAGGAGGAAGATAAAAACTTGCCCTTTCCCACCTCCTTAGGAAGGATGTTTATCCAGCTGAAAGCACAAGGAAAATCAGGAAGGCAGAGCATGGCCTTGCTGACTGGAGTGTTGTTTCCAACACCAATCCCAAAGCAAAATTAACAACAGCTGCCTACAAATATGGATTTTTTTTTCCCCTGTCTGAAACTCAGTGGACATGAGTTTCTCATTTGTATGCAGAGCTCTGATCTGCCAGGGACACCTGCCAGTCTCCAGCAACTTTCAGCAAAGATCAATCCATTTTCTAATTAGGGATAGGAGTTAATGGCAGCTGAAATGACCAATTTAAATCCAGCAGGCCCTAAACAATGACTTCTCAGGGTGCTGCCTGCCCCAGAGCCTTTCCTTTGTAGTCTTCTCAGCCTCTGCACTCTCCTGGATGATTTATGGTGTCTGGGGGCTCCTTGGCAGTACTTTCTGTGCTGATAAAGAGGAAAACCTTGACTGTATCTCAAATTGTCAACAAATGCTTTCAAATTTCATAAGAGTTCTTGCATTTGTCCTTCATATTTCCAGAGTTAAAAAAAGTGTTGCAGCCTGAAACTGCCTTTTCCTACAGAGTAACGCCCATTAACATCTCATTATTGAGCCCCATGAACTTTCCCCACCGTCAAAATGTGCTTAATTCCACTGGCCTCACCCCATAATTCCCAACTGGATACCCAACCTCCTGCTGACAGCCCAATTAATTCTGCTGGCATCATTAATGAGGAGCTGATTATTCAAGAAACACACCTGGCAAGAGTGAGTTTCACAGGCTAAAAGGGATAGTACAACTTTAATAGAAGGAGACATCAAAAAGCGTTTGCCCACGGCAAGAAATTCAACAATTGTGTTTAAATTTAATATAACAAGTAATAAAGAGTTGAGCTGGAGTCAAAGTCTGTCACTGGCTCTCCCACAATATTATTTATGGCTCTATATAGGCCCAGCTCCATGGCTTCAGCAGGCAAAAACCTTAATACCTTGTGACACAACTGGGCTGAGCCACCTAATATCACTCACAAATCCCTGAAAAACAAATACTCCTTCAAATAATTATGCTGTTCCAACATAATAACTTCCCAGGCAGTGATGAAATATCCTGTTTTAGGGAAGAACGCTGAAAAGCTTTGTCTGTGTCCTGAGCTTCAAATCAAAAACCTTTAATATTAGGATCACACTCTGCACTGAATAAATGTCAGAGAAATAAACTTGACGGAACAATATATTTTTCATGTTGTAAAACGAATTTTAAAAAGGACCTAGAACAGGAAACTACAAAGCCTTTAACCTCCAGGGGGAAAAAAATCAAATACCACCCAGGTCACTAATAATCTAACGTCAACTGTTTCCATAAAAAATGGGCAATGATAAATAATCAAAGCATTTAGTGGGAGCTGTGGGGATCTGGGTTATTCTCAGTTACTCTGTGTTATTCTCTGTGCATGATGATTAGATTTTTAAAGAAAAGGAAATGGTTCTCCCAGCCCTTTTCCCTGAGGTTTTTAGCCCAGAGCATGAAATCTCTCACTTTATTGTCTGGTTCCTTCCAGATCTGATCTCTCCCAGCCTGGCTGCCACGGTGTCTTCTTGAGAAGGAAAACACCTCAGAGGAGCCAATGCGAGGTGAACCTCTGGGCTGGAGAGGTTTAGGACACAAGGCAGGTCAGGCTGATCCAAACTGTACAGAATTCCAGAATTTCCTAATTCCAGATTCCTGCCTCCACGAGCTCCTGGCACTGAGCTGGCTCCTGCTGTTCCCTTCCCCTCACACACTCCTCTCATCACTGCTCTCGTTTGTACGGGCACAAAAGGTACAAGAAATGTTTATCCCACATAAATTATTTTAATTTCTTGCAGCAAAAGGCCAGCCCCGAGCAGCCCACTCAGCAAACAACTGAATGTTAAAATTTGAACGATGTGTAGGCAGAGCTGTTTATTCCACTCTGCTTTACACCCCACTGCATCAATGGATTTATTACTCTTCTGCATCCATCTCATGCTGCCCAATCCTTCTTTATATTTAATGTAGAGCTCAGCACTGAGCTCTCTCTTCCAAGTGACACTTCCAAGACCACTTTTGCTGCACTTTATTACATGTGAGAGAAGAGAAAACCTCTTGTCCTTTGGTCAGGCAGTCCAAACTCAGCATGAGGATAAAGCCCCAGTGACAGACAACACACTCTGCATCCCAGGACTGAAGAATCAGCTTTTCTTGCCAAAAAAGACTTCACTGAAACAAAACAAACAAACAAAAAGAGGTAATATTAGCTAACCTGAAATAGCAATTTTAAAGCAAGATCTCAGAATACAGAAAAGCTGCTTTTATCATAATATAACCTATGGAAATTGTACCTGAACATATGGGAAGATTTCATGCCCTTGTGAAAAATGCATGTTATGAATGCCTTTTAATAAATGTTACAATGAATATTATATATATAATGTTAGAAAGTTATGCTGTATTAATTCTCTCAAGTGTGTTAAATATAGTTTTAGGTTCCAACCTAATGTTAAAATAGAGACTATGTATGTGGGGGAATTTTTTTTTAGGAATGAGATATTCGCTTTGAGGAACACCTAAATCTTCCAAAGGAGAGGAAGTTATGGCTTCTTATCAGAAGAAACTAATTTCTTCAGGCCTTGCTCAGACTCGAAGACCCCATGGGGATTAAAGGAAACAGTTGACATACAACAGACAGAGTTTCTTGTTTTAAATAGAATATATGCATAACCATGAAGGTGTATGAATATGCAACAAGTGTATTGTTTTAAGGGTGATTCCTTTGTTCACTAGTCACGCTTTTCGTGACTTAGTGTCTGAGAGCATCCGGACATCCGAAATTCTTTGCTTTTAATTGTCTTGTAATTGTCTTAACTCTAAACTTTATTACTCTAATTGTATTATTATTTTCATAACCATTTTTTTATTATTAAACTTTTAAAATTTTAAAAACCAAGTGATTGGCGTTTTTCACACCCTGGAACACTTTTTGCATCTTATTTCCATGAAGTGTCACATCCAAGGCCATCTGCGTTCATCTTCTTGGGTGTAATACACTGTGCTAAAGGTAAAAAAAAAAAAAAAAAAAATTTAAAACAGTGTTTCTGTTGTGGCAAAGCAGAGCTGTGGCTGACCATGCGGTGTTTTTAGCAGAAGCCGGTGGCACAGCTCGGGGCAGCCCTTTAGCAGCGTTTTTGCAATCCTGGTGGGATTAAACCCAGCCGCGCTCCCACTCCCTCCCAGCCCTTCCCAAAGCGCTCCAGCTCCTCAGAGCCCCTTCCAAACCCGGGGGGATTCCATGTGGGGCACAGCTGGCACGGGATGTGCAGCACAACGCCAATCCCATCAACCCGGGCCTATTTCGGGCCCGGATTTTCCGCCTCAGCCGCGGCCGCCCCGGGCTCCACTACCCGCCCCGAGCTCCGAGCTCCGAGCTCCGGGCTCCGCTCTGGGCTCCGCTCCCCGCTCTGGGCTCCACTCCCCGCCCCGAGCTCCGAGCTCCGGGCCCCGGGCCCCGTTCCCCGCTCCGGGCTCCGCTCCCCGCTCTGGGCTCCGCTCCCCGCTCCGAGCTCCGAGCTCCGGGGTCCGCTCCCCGCTCTGGGCTCCGCTCCCTGCACCGAGGTCCGGGCTCCGCTCCCCGCTCCGAGCTCCGGGCCCCGGGCTCCGCTCCCCGCCCCGAGCTCCGGGCTCCGTTCCCCGCCCCACTCCGCCCTCAGCGCCGGGCCCGCCCCTTCCCCCGGGGACCGGGCCGGGGTAAGGAGCGAGGTCCGGTGGCTCGGAGGAGCAAAAAGCAGCTCTTAGAGCCCATCTCTGAATGCCGGGGGGAGCCAGGGAAGGGCAGAGCGGCTCCCGGAGCCCCTGAGGGGCGGGCACGGCCCTGGCGGGGGGAGCTGCCGAGCACGGAGCTGCTCCAGGCCTGGCAGAGCTGGGGGTGCTCCCCTGGAGAGGAGAAGCTCCAGGGAGAGCTCAGAGCCCTGCAGGGCCTGAGGGGCTCCAGGAGAGCTGGAGAGGGGCTGGGGACAGGGGATGGAGGGACAGGACACAGGGAATGGCTCCCACTGCCACAGGGCAGGGATGGATGGGATGTTGGGAATTGGGAATTGTTCCCTGTGAATTGGGAATTGTTCCCTGGCACAGGTGCCCAGAGCAGCTGTGGCTGCCCCTGGATCCCTGGCAGTGCCCAGGGCCAGGCTGGATGGGGTTTGGAGCAGCCTGGGACAGTGGGAGGTTTTTCCCCACTGTCTCATCTAACCATACTCTCTTTCCATTTCAACTCATTCCCCCTTGTTCTGTCACTACCCGCTGTTGTAGCTAGAAAGGGGGAAATTTGCATTTAATTTTTTGAAAATGAAGAATTTTATCCAAGCGTTACTGTAATCCACTACAGATTTGAAAAGGATGCTGCTCAGGTTTCACAGCTGATGTGCAGTACTGTACATTTACCCTGTGGAGCTGAACGTGTGCTGCTCTAATCCTGCTTTGACTTGATCACGACTGAGTTGTGATTTTACCCATCTGTTGTGGTGTGTAATGTGGTGTGATGTGACTGTAACATCCCAATGTACCTCCGGTGCTGCTGTAAGCAATCAGTGAAACTGATTTTGGTTTTGTTTTTATTTGCAGTGCTGTCCCATGGCAGCTGCCCCAGCAGAGAGCTCCAGCAGCCACGGGAAGGGGCTGGGGTCGAGCCACAGTGACAGCAGCTCTGCCTTGGACTATTCAGGGGACACCTTTGAGTCCTTCAGCGAGGAGCAGGAGAGTGAAGCACCTGGATCCTGGTGTTCCACAGAGGATTTGGAGGGAGCAGCTGTGTCAGAGGCTTTGGAAAGCTCATCATCACTGGCAGGCCAGAGTCCTGCAGGTATGCAGAGCTCTCCCTGCTTGGGGCCAGCCTTCCACAGCTTCAGTCACTCAGTGCAGTGGGGACTTGAAACATTAAAAATAAACATGTGAAAATTGCATGCAGTATCCCTGCTGTGCAAAGTGCCCTCCAGATCCGTGCTTCAGACAGCTCCATGGGAAGGACTTGGCCATGGAAATCCTTCCTTAGTAATCTTGTCGTGCTGAAATTCTGTTGTCGCCTTAAAAAACAATTCTCCAAGCTACTTTTTACCATGTATGAAAAGTAGCTTGTTTTGTCACTACCTGCTGTTGTAAACCTTTTCTTCCCTGTAAGTTTCTTTTATATACTAGAAAGGGAGAAATTGGCATTTAATTTTTTTAAATGAAGAATTTTATCCAAGAATTAGAGTTATCCCACTTTTTTACCATGTATGAAAAGCAGCTGGGCCATAAAACAATTTTTCCATGCGATAATTTCATGATTTGAAATACTGAAGAGGGCTGAGTAGGACCTTAAAGCTGCAGGAGATGAGGGATAAAGCAGAAGCTGAAATCTGTGGCCTCATCTGTGTATTGCTGTGGCTCAGGGTTTCTCCTCCCTAGCAGGGAGGACTGGCACATTCAAGTGGAGGATTATTTGCCTCCCACTTTTCTTTCTTCACAATGTGTCTTCTAAGTTTCCTTTTTTCCTTGCAGAGGAGGAGTTTGAAGCAGTGGATCCTGCAGCTGTGGAAAGAGCTGCCATTGGAAAATGGATTGATGCCATGGGAAAACGGATTGATCTGAAAAATAAAGGCACTGGGATTAGGCCAGACAAATCTGCCATCAGAACTCCTGCTGGTGAGTTGGGTAACTTCAGCAGAGGCTGTAATTGTTGCTTTTGGAAGGAGATGTAAACTTGACTTAATTTAACAGCCTGTGTATAAAATTTAAGCCAGATAATTAGCCTGGCTTAATTAGCCAAGTAATTAAGTACAAAGTTTCTCTTTTATGCTTTCTTGGAGAGCAGTTTGTCTCCCATATCTCACATGGCTTTGATGCTCCCCCCATGTAGTGACATTATCCTGGTGATGCATTACCACAAAACCTGGAAAAGTACATTGAAAATGTCCCCATGTTTGACATTTAATTTTTAAATTTAATTCAGGCTTTTTCTCTCCTGCTGTAGAGGTACTAGGAAATCCAGGCATTTTCCCCTCCAAAATAAACATGACTTCAGAATTTAGTGTGTCAAATGGGTTTTCCCCCTTGTTAATCAACAGTATTGATAATTGAATTATTAGTTTACCCTGTTTTAGTTCCTTTCCCAAGCTGAGGGAGGCAGTAGGGCTCCGATTTTGGCAGGAACAATGGAGCAGCTTTACCCAAATAGTGATGGAGTGTAGGGAGAAGGAGGAGGAGGAAGGAAAGGAGGAAGGAAGGATCCATTTCCATGTACTGGTTATGCAAGGAACTGTGACAGCAGATGGTGGGATGCAAGCCCTGCTAAAGTCTGTCAAAAAGTGGGTCAGAGATGCTATTTTTAATTAAGAAAAAAGAGCAAGAAAGCTGTAACTGAGTAAAAAATAATGGGAGCAGACGGGGAATCTTCCTCAAGCTACATGGTGATGGGAAGTGAGCAAACTTGGAGTTTTGTAGGTCACTGTAGGACAGTGGTCCTCCTGCCTGGGTGCTTCATGGCATGGGATTTGTGTACCAGCATCCTCAAAGCACCCAACTGTCCTACAAAACAGCAGCTCCTCGGGTCACTTCCAGGCTGGTGTGGATTGCAGAGCTCCTTCCCCCCGTGGCAGTGCTGGGGCTCCTGGCTCATCTCCTGCATTCCTGTTGCTGCAGTCGAGGGAAGGCAGGAGTGTGGAGCAGCTCATCTGCACCAGGGAGGCTTCTCCTGGCCAAAAGACTCTTCCTAAAATACATCAGAGTCTTGTGACTGATTCCTGGAGGCTGTGAGGGGAGCTGATGAGTTCAGAGGCACTGAAGGAAGGATGGACCACCGCTGAAGGCTGAGGATGTTTTCCCTTGAAAGATTTTATTCACAGAACCACCTGCAGATCCCTGTAGTTCTGCACCAGGGAATGCTCTGCCTTTGGCTGGGGGGTGCTGATGGCAGGGGGGTCAGAGTGGTCACTGAGGCTGGGCAGCGAGTCCTGTGTCGCTGTCGGGGCAGGACGGGAATGAGGAGACTTAGATTAGAAGGCTGCTGAGAGTAAAACTCCAATTTATTCAAAATACACTGCTCTTTTATACAGAGCTTCGTGAGGACCAAATTCATTGGTCCTGAAATGAAAACAATGCACAGCATTGGTGTAAAGTGCTTGATGCACAGGGATAGAACTTAACTATGAACAATGTGAAAAGCAAGAGAGATAAAGAATTATTTACATTCTCTCCAGCTCTTTCCCAGGCCTCTGCCTGGCTAGAAACTCTCAGTTTCTTTCTTTGACTGAATCTGAGTCCCCCAGTCCTGTTCCACAATCTTGAGCTGGCTTGTCTTTGCTTGTCCTGTCATTTGTCCCTGTGGCAGCCTCGGGTACATTGGTGCTTCCAATGATCCATATGAAGAGCACAAAATATGGTTCATGCTTTCCTTTCATGCAAACACAGTACCCAGCCATGTTATCCCCAAATCAATCATAATGCCTTTTTTATTGCAGAATGTTACCATAAAACAAGCACAGCAATTTTTGTCTTCTGATATCTAGAAATGCTTCTCTTGGACTTAATCCTTCAGCACTTGGTAGCCCCCAACTTTTGTGTTGTTTTAGCAGCTTGGAGATGTTTTTTAATGCAGTAGATGAGCTCACCTGGAAGTGGATTGCTGCACACTCAGCTCAGTGAATCGTGTGCACTGAGCACACAGGGTACTCTGAATCAGGGGCTGTTTTATTGCCTCAAGACTTTCCTTCTCATCTTACTACTAATGGCTTAAATGTGATGGGGAGAGAAAAGGGTTCTGCTTGGCCTGTGGGAGCACTCTGGAATGTCATTTTTATTTTTCATGGTTTTCTTTGTGGGCTCAAAGAAGAAAAACACACTGGCCTCAGGAGAGGTGAGAAATTTTCATCAGAGTTGTCTTTGTCCCTCCACCCCAGTGTGGTAGCACGAGCTGTTATTAGGCAAATGCATCACAACACGACTGTAAAATCTCAGTTCCACAGAGATTGCTCCATGTTAGTCATCTTTAAAATGTGCTCAGGAAAAGGCAATTCTTCAGCTTGGATGTATCTGAAAATTCAGGTGGGGCTCTTTAACCCCCTGGCTGGTGCTGTGCTTACAAGTTGCCTCTCACTTTTGTCATGTGTCTCCAGGAAATGCTTTGCCTGTTTATTTTTCTGCCCTGTTCATGTAATTGTTCCCTGGGAAGGTGGGCAGGCCCTGACAGAGGTCGCCCAGAGCAGCTGGAGCTGCCCCATCCCTAGGAGTGTCCAAGGCCAGGTTGGATGGGGCTTGGAACACCCTGGGACAGTGGGATGTGTCCCAGGGTGGCACTGGATGGGCTTTGAGGTCCTTCCAGCCCAGGTTGTTGTGTGACTCTAGGGTGATTCACTGTGCTGGAGGAGTTTACTCACTTTTAATTCCTATTTGTGATGAACAGCCTGACATTTCAGCCTGTTTCTCTCAGTTCTGTGTTATCTGCAGTGGTCTTTGTCATGTTCTTTGCTGGTCAGGCTGTCAGCTTGTTCATCTGAAACTGTAAAATTAATCTAGGTCATTATGAAGATGCTATCTGGAGCTGCAGAGGTAAAACCTTACTGAAGAGCAGTTATTGATTATTGCCTTTCACAGTTATCTCTTTTTACTTTTTACCTTCTTTAAAATAAGAGTATTAGTAGAGAATAATAACAACAAAATGCCTGTAAATTTTCCTATTAAATCAAAGTTAGACATCAAAGGAAAAGCAAACTCATAAAAGATTTTCTTTTACTCCCTCCTCGTGGATTTCAAATGTCACATTTAAGGCTGGAGTAAAAACCCACACAGGTCACTGAGAAAACCTACAAAACCCACACAGGTCACTGACAAAACTTACAAAACCCACATAGGTCACTGAGTTCCCCCCTCTCAGCAGGGTTTGGGATGCAGACATGAGGATTAGCTTGTCTCTCCTGGGCTGCTGGAATCACAGCAGCTTCCTGGTGCACTTTGTGGGGCTTTGCTGCCCAAACCTTTCACATTCTGTGACCTTCCTGGTGGGTGAGATGGGGCTGGCATTGATGCTGTGCTGGTGTCACTTGGGCTGCTCTTGTCACCTGCTCTGCCTCTGCAGTGAAGAGAGGGAGAACTGGATTTGGAGCAACCAAACATCAGGAAAATGTCCTTGTGGAGCAGACATTGGCACTGGACCTCAGATCTGCCACCACAGCTGCAGAAGGAGCATTGCAGCAGGTCTGGATCACACCTGGAAAAGAGGGAATCTGTGAGAGACATGGAATAAACCCAACCCCAAAGCAAGAGTGAGATCCCCTGGGCAGGTGAACCCCCCACACCTGGGGGAGATCTGAATGTGTAAATACTTCAGTTAAAAGACAAACTTTTCTCATCATTTTTGGGTTTGTTTCAGAAAACTTCTAGTCCTTGATCCCTAATTTATATCCTTTCTGAAATTCCTGTTAAGCATGAGTTAATATGAAGTAGCTCCAGCACTGAGTCGTGCAGTGAGGTTTAAAAATTGCTGTTCCCTTTGCCAGTGTTTCTTCTGAAGTCTGGAGGTGCAGATGAGCAGATGGGTGGGTGTGTGGCAGCACAGGATTTATGCATTATTAGAAACCAATTCTTAATAAAATTGCACTTGTGGATGTCAGAAGAGCCTTAAGTGAGTTATTCAGGCTGGTATTAAACTGTCACTAAATGCTCAGTGGACCTGATGTGTTTTACTTCTCCCTTTGAGTACTCAAATGCTTTTATTCTGGGCTTTTACCCCAGTTACAATGATAACTTTTTAAATCTTTTTATTCATTTTATGTTCAGCATAAATGAACTTGCCAGGAATATTTTATTAATGTGATTAAACCCAGTAGTGGCATATGATTTCCACTTTTTTATATGGTTCTTTTAAGGAAAATCACCTGATGACTGAAATTGTAGTTTCCACTCAGATATTTATGATGCTCCCTCAGAATTTTTAAAAATTAAATTTCTATTTATGTGTCTATAAATTGTCACCATGTTTTTCCTTTTAATAATTTTTATACCTCATCTTCTTAGGAGGAGTAAATTGTTCTGTGATGCTCAATTCTGAACTTAAACATAATTTCCATGTTGTCCATGAAGCCACAAAATTCCTGCTTTAATTTTAATTATGGATTCCCTTCTCCTTTATAAATACTGTATTTCTGAGGAGAAATCCCAGGGAATTTAGGGGAAGTTTTATATTCCCATTGTTCTGTATTTTGAGGATTTGTGTTGTGGGACTGGAATGCCACGTGCCTTTCTGGAAATTGAATTTAATCTGAAAAAACAGAATGTGGAGGGGTTGTTCAAATGATCCAATCCAACCTCCCAGCAGGAATTTGGGTGTGAATCCTTGGAGTTCAACTGGCCACGCTTTGGGGGAAATCTGGGCATGGAAACCTGCAGAGCTGTGGTGTCTCCACCCCACCAGCCCCATGAAATACTGCACTGATTGTGCTCTAAGCCTCTGGAAAATCTCCCCAAAAGCCCTGAATGAAGTTGTAAATCCATCCTAACCCGCCCAGCTGAAGTCTAATCTTGATTTTATTTATTTTTACATGCTGCTGGGAAGGATAAGAGAAGATGAAAGAGGCAGTGATATTTTTTAAATAAGTTCTTATAAAGAATTTAGGAAATGATTGTTGAAGCTTTAGGTGAGAAGTGTTTTCTAATTGCACTTCCTCCAAAAAAAATTGCCTTTCTGTAGTTTGTGGAATTTATTGGAGGTGTTTCCAGAGTGACTTCAGTGGACACTGCCTCTAATTTTTCTTACAAATTGCTCCTTAGACTTATTGATGAAGAGCTCTCTTGATATATTAATTAATTTGGGTTTAGCAAGTTGCAGTTTCAGGTAGTAAGGTGCTAAATCTGTATTATTGACAGCCAGTTTATTTAATGTCATAGTATTTAACTGCTTGCTTTGCTAATCTATTTATCCTGTGCCATTAACCTTTTGTCTTTTTATTTCCTCCTGTCTTTGGAGCCTGTTTTAGAGCCATTTATTTTGCAAGTTCCTGCAGCTCCCATCTCCATTTTTATTTAAACTCTGACTTTAGAACCATTTATTATGCAGGTTCCTACAGCTCCCATCCCCATATGTGTTCAAATTCTGATTTTGGAGCTTGTGTTAGAACCATTTATTGTGAGAGTTCCTACAGCTCCCATCCCCATTTGTGTTTAAATTCTGATTTTAGATCCATTTATTGTGCAAGTTCCTACAGCTCCCATCCCATTTGTATTTAAATTCTGATTTTAGAGCCATTTATTGTGCAAGTTTCTACAGCTCCCATCCCCATTTGTGTTTAAATTCTGATTTTAGAGCCTGTTTCAGAGCCGTTTATTGTGAGAGTTCCTACAGTTCCCATCCCATTTTTATTCAAACTCTGATTTTAGAGCCATTTATTGTGCAAGTTCCTAGAGCTCCCATCCCCATTTGTGTTCAAATTCTGATTTTGGAGCCTGATTTAGAGCCATTTATTGTGCAAGTTCCTACAGCTACCATCCCCATTTTTATTCAAACTCTGATTAATTTAAAGCCATTTATTGTGCAGGTTCCTACAGCTCCCAATCCCCATTTGTATTCAAATTCTTATTTTGGAGCCTGTTCTAGAGCCATTTATTGTGCAGGTTCCTACAGCTCCCATCCCCACTGGTGTTCAAATTCTGATTTTAGAGCCAATAACTGCAGGTTCCTACAGCTCCCATCCCCATTTGTGTTCAAATTCTGATTTTTGAACCTGATTTAGAGCCATTTATTGTGCAGGTTCTTACAGCTCCCATCCCCACTGGTGTTGAAATTCTGATTTTAGAGCCAATAACTGCAGGTTCCTAAGCTCCCATCCCCACTGGTGTTGAAATTCTGATTTTAGAGCCAATAACTGCAGGTTCCTAAGCTCCCATCCCCACTGGTGTTGAAATTCTGATTTTAGAGCCATTTATTGTGCAGGTTCTTACAGCTCCCATCCCCACTGGTGTTGAAATTCTGACTTTAGAGCCAATAACTGCAGGTTCCTAAGCTCCCATCCCCGCTGGTGCCCAGTTGTGCTCTGCAGTTGCTGCAGGCAGTGCCTGACCCTGGCGTTGGTTTTTCCCTGGCAGATCAAGAGCAGCAATTCCCCTTTCCCAGAGGCTGGCACTGATGCTCTTGCCCTGTTGTTTGTGCCTGGCAGCAGCTGCAGAGCTGTCCCATGCAGAGCTGGCTGCTCTCAGCTCTTTCTGCAGCAGGAGCTGCAGCAGCATGCAGCAGGAGCGGGCAGGGACGGGCAGCAGGCTGCAGTGGGGAGGCCCAGCAAGGCACGCTGAGACACCAGATTCCTGTGCTGTTCCTGCACGCCTGATCAACAGGATCCTGCTGGAAAACACCAGGGAGGCTGTCAAACAGGTACTGGGGGAGAGAAAGGCAGATTTTCTCTAAATTCTGGGAGAACCACTGGAGAAAGAGACATAATAACAGGATCAAGTCAGGCACATCTTCCTGATGCCAGGTTCAGGGCTCTGGAAGAGCTTTTGGATTGACAACCCAAGATTTATCCTTCTCCTTTCTTAGACATCACTGTAGAACTGTTGCTATCAAATAATCACCATAAAATATTCTCTGCTGATAAAATCCTGATTTGTGTGATTGAGAAGGCTGGGGTCATCATTTATTTTATAAAAATCCCTGGATCAAGTGAAGGAAAAAGCCTTTTTCTCTGATTATGTTTGCCCCAATTATTTATCAAATTATTCTGCATATTATTTGTTGTGAAGTCTTTGTGACTCCAGGATTTGAAGAATTCCAAAGACAAAACCTCCCTATGCTCCCAGCTTTCTTAGGTATTAGATAATATTGATAAAAGCAGTTCCAATAAAATCTTGCTGACCTCAGTCCCTGCTTAAGAAGTCTCTGTATCATCTTCAGCTAATTCAAATCTCTTTTTTTGTCACCAGCCCAGTGGGTATCACAGGATGGGTTTTATGCCCCAGCTCCTCCCCTCAGCCCTGCACCTAAAAATAACACTTGAAAGTCACTTCTGGTGTGATAATTATTTCAGGCTTCCTGTCTTTTAAAACAATTTTGACATTTCAGCCATCTGCTTTTTAGATTTCTATTAATGCTAACCCACCTTGCAAATTTAATGGAATTTTTTATTTTGTTTTTATTTGTGTTACATTGTGGGAATACATTCCCTGAGAAAAGTAATTTCATCTGCTCTTCTGCTTGGTTCTGTCTGTAGCTCCACACAATAACATTTTATCCAGAAAAGTCAGGGAAAAGGGGACAGAGAGGTCTGGGATGGGACTTCCTTGGGTTGATTCCCCTGCTTTTGTAGCAATTTAATGTGTTTATTGAGCCAGATGGAATCTGAGTCAATTAGATCAGATAAAACCATTGATATTTCATAAAAGCACCAACCCTGGGATTTGTGTAATGCTGTTAAATAAGCTTAAGATTTCATGGTGGATAAACTGACCTAGGAATCACTGAGTAGCACTGATTCTCTTACAGAACTGCAGAGTCTGGATTGGATTCTGGCTCAGAGCTGCATGTTTGAACTAATGGCTCCAGAGTTTATTTGAATCTTTATTTATTTATAGAATGTATATATATATATATATAATTTGTAATCATAACTCCTTTGGCTGCTGCTTAAGGCCTTACACACAGTCAGCAGAGGAACAGTTACAGATGATGGAATTGTGACTCAGAATTATTGTAGCACTGCCTAAAAAGCCAATTTTTGTCTTTAGACAGTAGCTCTGTGTATTTTTATTAATTGTTCTCAAAGCTGCCAGGCCAGACATTGCTCATGGCATCAACATTTCCTCTTCCAGGTGACAGAAGCTGAAATCCACGAGACTTCAACCTGTCCTGACTGCCAGCAGAAGGCAGCAGAGCTGGCCAAGGTTGCCTTTCTCAAGCGAAAAAAGACTCTGCTGGAAGGTGCTTTAATCCAAGAGAAACTGGAAGAAAAGTTTTACTCCAGGGTAAGCAAACATTGTTGATAAAAAAATTATGCTACATTTTATAGGTGCTGTAATGGAAGAATCTGTAATTCAGATTCTCCCTGATTATATGGCAGTGAGATCAGTGCAAACCAAAATAGAATTTGGGTCCATTGTATTAATAAAATGGTTGGGACCAACGTTCTCCTCAAGTCATTTGAGGAGATTTATGTCTGATTTATGGAAGCTGAAGGTCATTGCCAGGATGTCCCGGAATTTGGGTCCATTTTGATTATTTCTCCCCAGTTTGTTTTCTGCTGGGCTGTCCAAGCTGAAATGGAAAATTAAATGATGTAATAGGAGGGAACTGCCCATACTGGGCTTCCTTGCTCATCCTTTGCCATGGGAGTCTTGGAATGTGCAAGGATTCCACATCTGCAGTGTGTGATGGAGGCTGAGGCCTTGGGATACTCTGAGATTGCTTCTTGGAATTCCTGTCTCTGTGCCAGTGTCCCACAGATGGAAGCTTTGTTGGCAGGAAGTGCCTCTGGAGCAGCTGGGGGAGCAGTGAAATGTGCAGAATTCCATGGGTCTCCTGTGGCTGTTCTTCAGGAGGGTTTTCCTGGAGGAAGAGCTCTTCTCTCCTTCCTTGGGAGGGGGCAGACTGAAGGCAGGAACCTTCCTGCAGCTCTCAGCTCTCTTCCCCTGTTGATGAGCAGGCTGGGAGTTTGTGCTGTACCACACATTCCTTTATTTCCTAATAATTCCAGTCTCCAGAATTTTGACTCTTCCTCACTCTGTACCTGAGATTGGAGAGCTTCAGTCTCGGGTGAGGCTTCACTTTTTCCCACTTTCCCCCCTGCTTCCCTGAAAGGCTAGCTGCTTTTCCCTTCCTCCTTAGGGAAGAATCCTGCTTTTTGGGCCATGCTGCTGGACAGAGTTTTTAAACAGAATCCTTTCAAACCCACCAGATTGTGGGTTGTGCAGTTGGAGGAGTGCTGCCCACCCGGCTGGGCTTGAGGGACTGGGTGTGTGCTCCAGGCCATGAGAAATGGCAGGAATACAATCCTGGATCATCCCATGTTTCCTTTCTGTTTCAGGACATGCTCACACTTCTAGGAGAAGCACTCAGAAGCTTTCCTAAACCTTCAGAGGATCCCAGGGATTTGTGGTAATGGCTGGAGGGTCAAGAGTGGAAAGACTGAATGAACCATAACTCCAGCGGGTGAAGAACTGGGAGAGCCTCCTGTGGGCAGTCAGCTCCAGAATTCCAATGATTTTGGATCTGAGCTGCTCTGGCAGTGATGGATTGGGTGCTGCTTTAATATTCCTGCAGGTGGAACCAGATCTGCCTGGCTGGGGTGTGAGTCAACCCTGCCTCCTTCCTCAGTGCAAATGTTGCAATATATTGCAATCCATCTCCATAGGTTTCTCAAATTCCAGAAGCCAACAGTTTCCATTATTAATCTGGCCAGCCAGAAGTATTGGTTTGTTGTTTTTTTATTGTGGGACTGCTGTGGGATTGCAGAGCAGCTCCCAGCTGCTTCCATCCATAAGGAAAATAAATGACTCCGTTTGCCAGGGCAGGGAGGTGTAATTACTGCATTTCAGCTCAGGCTTTGCCTCATGGTAAATTGAAAGTGAGAGCCCCAGGTGGACAAAAAGCAAAGTTGACTATAAAAGGCAGTAGAATGAAATGCAGTATTTATAGAAGGGAAATAATGAGTTTGTAACTGAAATTAATCAGCAGGACTGGAGATGCCAATGGGATGAGAAATGATAATAAATGAATCGTGGAATCTATATAGGATAGAGAGAAAAAAAGCAACAGATTAAAACTGGGCTAAGAATTGCAAGAAAATACTTCAGAATTTGTTGTAATTTTTCAAGATGATGGAATCACTGTTGTTCAAAGATTGGATCTGGGGTTCAGTACACATCCAAATAAAATGGAATTATGCTGGGAATCTTTGGGTTAGACAATGAAATCATCCTCACTGTGGCCTCCAAAGCTGGTGCTGCTTTGTGGTCAAGGCTGACAGCAGGGGCTCAGCCCCCTGCTCCTGCCATGGCCTGACTCTCTTCAGCCTCCCATTTCCTGATTTCTCTGCATTCCCATCTCTGTGGAAATCTTGGAGGGATAGCCCTATCTATGAACCCACACTGTATTTTTGTGCCAAAGCAGAGAGAATTAAATCCCCCTGTTGCATTTTCTTCCCCCATTTTGGGCCCTCACTACTGAAGTGGGCTTTGTATTTCATGGGGTTGTTTCCCTCCTCGAGCTCTGTGTTGTTTATCAGAGTCCTTGAGGGCTGTTTAACCTCTTGTTCTCACTTCCCACAAACCAATGGAAAACCTGGTGGGAAATGCTGGGATATAAACAGAAGTGTTAGCAAAGTTCTGCCTTCTGCTGCCTAAAAATCTGCTCTGAGTGATTTCCCTGGGAGTGGATCCTGAGCAGGTCAAGCACCAGGTGGGAGCCCAGCCCAGCCCTGAGTTACTCAGTGCTGCTTGTCCTTGCAAACAGCTTTAATTGTCTGTCCAAAATATTCCCCCAAAAGCATCCCCTTTTGAATTGTCCCTGCAGAGCATCTGGGTAATGAATAAACTCTGCTTGTTCCTTCCTGTTGCTCTGGAATCCTTAGAAATATTTAAATCCCTTAAATCTCCTGCCTTCCAATCTCGTCATGGATGCCCCACCTCTGTTCCTTACTTGTTTGGGTGTGCACACCTTGGTTCTCTGAGCCTTTGGAAGTCTGCAAACACTGGGAAAGGCACACAGGATTTCAGGTGGAGCCTTGGAAGGGCTGTCAGGGGTACAGGAGGTGATCAGGAACTGAATCCTTTGAAAATGTCATTTTACAGATTTCAGCCCTTGCAGACCTACAAAAAGTGACTTCCATGCACATGTTGATATTTCTGTTTTCAGAACACAGAAGCTTTCTAGAGCTACTGAAATGTGTTTGCAGCTGCTGTCAAGCCTTTCTGTAAATCCTGAACTCTGAGTTATTTGGGTTATGTGTCTGACAGTATTTGTCTGTGCAACAGCAGCCTGCTCACACACAGTGCCTGCACAGCTCTTGTTTGCATAAATGTTACAAACAGAACTCAGGTAACTCCTCTGGAAAATCAAAGTAGATTTTGCTGATGGCTGTTGGATGCATTTTCCTGCTGCTCACTACAGTTGTTTCATTCTTTTATCAGTAATGACTCTGAGAGCTGAGTGTTTTCTTTAGCAGCTCTTAGAGATATGCAATGGAATGAATGATCTGAGCCCCTAAATAATTTATTTTCTAATCCTGCACTTTTTGAGGCTGAAGATCCAAAACTCTGCCAGGGAGGATGTGGGAAAGAGGGTGGATGATGTATCTTCCTTTTTCCCCTTCCAGGAGCTCCTCCCTCCAGCAGCAGATTTTTCTGTTGATCCAAAGAAACCTCAAAACTCTGGTCAAGGAATATTGACTCATCTGCTGCCTGGTTTGTGCTTGCTGGGGCATAAAAGGAGCAGGGTGGCTCAAGAGGGATTCCTTGGGAAAAGCAGCTGTGGCTGTGAAACAAATCAATCTGCCTCTTCAAAGTGCTCTGCAGCTTTGCCTTTGTGGCTTTCATGCCACCCAGAGTTGGATGATTTAATCTTCTGGATAACTGCTGATGTGGTGGGGTTCATTGCTCTGTGCTAACAGAGAAGGTTTCTCCCATCTCAGCTGTTTCATGCTCTGTGTATGCTGATATCCACTTCTGGGGGGTTGGATTTTAGAACTGACCCTTTGGAGGAACTTACATTCCTCACATGATCATTAAAATCAGCTTCCATGGGCTGCAGCACTGTGACTTTCCCTTCCATTTGCTCCAGCTTTATAAAAAACCAACCTGCACTCCCGGCTCCCTCACTCCTTGTCTCCTTTCCAGACATCTCTGACCTCTAGGAAAAACTTCCATCTCAGTCCCAGCAGGCTGCTAGCCCAGCTCTGAGTGGGAATGAAGTTTCAGTGTTATTAACTCCCTGGATATGAGCTGCAACAAAGCTGAACATTCACAAATTACCTCTTCTGGTGGAAGGTGGCCCTGCCCATGGCAAGGGTGGCGCTGGATAAGCTTTAAGGTCCCTCTAACCCAAACCATTCAACTGTTTTGGGATATTTGAATTTGGATTTCCAGCTATTGAGGAAATAATTTGTGGTCCCACTGGTCCAGTGTAGGATCACAGAAGAGTTTGAGTTGGAAGAGACCTTCCAAAGGCCACCTAACCTCCCCTGCCATGGCAGGGACACCTGCCACTATTCCAGGGTGATCCGACCTGGCCTTGGGCACTTCCAGGGATCCAGGGGCAGCCACAGCTCCTCTGGGAATTCTATTCCAGGGTAAAAACCTTCTTGTACCTGGTCTAAACCAACCCTGCAGCAGGTAAAGCCATTCTCCCTTGTCCTGAGGACACGGGGCCTGCTGAGAGCTGTGCCCATCCTTCCTGCAGGCCCCCTTCAGGTACAGGAATGTTTCCCTGGAGCCTTCCCTTCTCCAGCTGAACACTCCCAGTGCTCAGGTTCTCCTCAGGGGAGAGGGGCTCCAGCCCTCAGAGCACCTTGGTGGCCTCCTTCCATTAGTCCTGAGCCTTTTCTCTGAAGTCTCAGAAAAATCTGAAATGCTCCAAGTCCCTCAGTGCCTCCTCAGAAATTCCCCTCATGGGGTTGGCTCGGGGTGTGGTGAGACTTGGGTATTTTTTTAGTTCTGTTTTTTACCACAGCCAATTTGATGAGGTTCCAAGAAAAGGAGCTGAACTGATTTCTTCCTGTTATGTGTAGTAGATATAATTTGTGCCATTTCTAGTATGATATATGTGATATTGAATATTTGTTAGAGTATGCACGTTTGTATTAGGACTCCCCCCACCCTCGCAGGTGTATGTTGAAACCCGATTTACAAGTAAAAGGATGTGGCCAGGAGATGGGAGATGGGCCATGTCTGGAGAGATACGGGGACCCCAGGCGCTGATCATCACATGAACGACCCGAGATGGATCTCATGGAAATCCTCGGGCAGATCCATGTGAATGCAGCGTTCCCGTAAAAGCCATCAAGAGATTCACCAACTCTGGACACTGAATTGTTCTTCCTCAGCACCAAAAAAAGTAAATCTTATTAACCTATGGACTCTGAATAGAAGAAAAGACTGACTGCCCAAATCTTGGCCTCAGGAGGAATTTTCCCCATAAAAACCGCTTGTGCCAGGATGGAGGTGTGTGGGCATGGAGGAAAACCCCTGCTGAGGCTGACTTCTTGTTGCACACCCAGGGCCGACCCCGGGCGCGGCTCTGTTCTTTCCTTGTGGCTGGCTAGATAGAATTTGATTGCAAAATAAATCTTTTTTTTTTTTTTCTCATATTAATTTGTCTGGACAAATTTTCATTTTTAACACTTCCTATGGGGAACTTGACAGAAGTTTCCAGCTGGTGGCACCGAGGACGAGGGCTGGTGTTCCCCTGGTGTGGAGCTGCCCCTGCAGCCAGCTCCCAGCAAAGCCCTGAGCTGAGTGCAGTCCCCCCAAACCATCCACACATCCTCCAGCAAGAGCTGCAGCGCTGCTCTGCATCCCTCAAGCATTTTCCAATCTCTTTGCATTCCTCAAGCTGTGATTTTATTACCACTGGATGTGATTTTTAGAGAGTGACTTTTGGTTGTGCCCCTGAGGGAGGCACTGGGTGTGTGCAGCTCAGCCCTGCCTGCCCCGGGGCTGCTTTCCTGACTGCTCTGCCTTTAAATGATGGCAAAACAGATATTAATCCTATCAACACCACATTTGCACTGTTTTCATGCAACTATTTGTCCTTTTTTTTTCCCTCCACAACTGATTTTGAAGATCTCTGGCAGCTCTGACAACACCAGGGTGTGGATTGGAGATGAGGGGGAGTGGATTCCTTCTGTCAGGGCCCCCATCTTCCAGATTACCCAAATAACTGATCAGGGTACTTAAAAAAAACCCCAAACATTTTCCAGCCTCTGGGCATGGATATTCACTGCTTATTTATTCATTTATTTATTCTGTAATAAAATAGTACTGTTTTCACAGACTAGGCTGTATGATCCATAAATACCCTTGTAAAATAGATATGTAGCATGTAACAGAATCCTTTAGAATATTCTGTGAAAAATCTTTTTTCGTTGTTGTTGTTGTTGTTGATAGCACTTTCAGAACATTTACATCCTTCATCCTGACATTTTGAAATAGAACATTTTTTTTCCTACAGAGGTAAGTTTACAGCATCATCACAGTATTATAGCTTGTTTAAAAATACATACAGCAGTACTGGTAATTGCAAGCAAGCTGTAGACTTGAGCAGGGGGCTGGTGCCAACTTCACATGGTTTCTACTTTATAAAACAATGACATTTATTAATATTACATCCATCACTTGGTTAGAAAAGATGACTTAGATGTGCTACTCACAAGAAATCTGTCATTTCTCTGTGGCATCACAGGCCAGGCTATGGAAATAGAAACACTCCGTGGTATGGGTGGTTTAAAAAGGGTTTGATGCCTAATTAAAAAAGGTGGTTTAGGCTGTCTCTTCCCATAGGAATTTGAGTTCCACTGACACTGGATGTTCTTAATCCGCTTGTGGGAATGGCATGAGCAGCTCTCAGCACAACCCTGGTGTGAAGGCAGCACTGAAATGTCACTGAAATGTGGGCTCAGGAGCAGCCTGGGACCCGCTCGCTGCAGCACCTGCAGCGCTGCTGGCACCAGAGCAGCACAACTGCCCTGCTTTGGACCAGCTGAGCTGCTTTGGGACACCCCAAATCTGCCTCTTCACCTTCCAGGGGGGCTGGAAGCAACAGGTTGAAATTTGATGGTTAAGTAGTACACAGAAAAATTGTGGTCAGGGTTGGAATGGAGCTAAAAACTCTTCCCATTCCAGCCCTGCCATGGCAGGGACACCTCCCACTGTCCCAGGCTGCTCCAAACCCCAATGTCCAGCCTGGCCTTGGGCACTGCCAGGGATCCAGGGGCAGCCACAGCTTCTCAGGAATCTGTGCCAGGGCCTGCCCACCCTCACTGGCACTGCCACAGTTTGCCCAGCGAGGATTAAAACGACAGAAGAGATTAAAAATACATAATTGCATTGGTTTTACTTTGCACAAATGAGACTAAATGTATAAATATATATATATATGTATAATAAAGCGGTAGGAAATCTCCAAACTGCTAACAACTCTTAGAAATGAGATAAAACAAGGATGTATCTGCTTGGAAATTTCAAATTTGCAGTTCTCTCATGATTTTCAGGTAATTCAAGAGTACTTCATGGTGGATCCTGGATTTCTCTTTTTATGAAACAAGTCCAGGTGTGCTTTGGCAAATGCTCTTTTCTTGGTCTCTCTGATACTCCTCTTGTGCTTTCTGCAGTCTTTTCCCTCTGAGTTTCCACTTGTGGAAGCAGTAGGTGATGAGGGATGTCATCAGCAGGGAGAAGAGGATGACCAGCACGACGATGAGTGCGATGGTGGACGAGAGGGACCCGTCCAGCTGCTCGCTCTCCGTGTCCCTGGTGGAGTTGACATCAGCAAAGTTCTCATAATCTGCTGAGGCCAAAAGTGCAGCTCCAGGAGCCTCCCTCAGCTTGGGCCTCATTGGGACTGGGGAGGTGTTCTCAGGATTCCTGGAGAAGCAGATCTAGGGCTGCCCTGTCAGCATCCAGGAGCCAGCTTTGCCTCGGGTGCTGCAGGCATGGGGAGGCTCAGCAGAGGGGTTTGGAGGCAGGGAGAGCAGGAGCTGCAGCCTGTGGCACCAAGTCTCCAGCACAGGGCAGCTTTTTCCCAGGTGCTGAGCTCAGGGATGTGCTGCCTTCTTCATCAAGGAGCAGGGAAGGCTCAGCCAGCTGCCAGTTTGGTGTTGCTTGTTTCCTGCAAGAGAAAATTGGAGAAAATCCCATCAATTTTCCAGTGGTGGCAGAGCTTGTCCTGGGGCTGAAAGCAAAACAAGTGCTGCAACAAGTGTGACTTTCTATCACAGCAATTGTTTCAGTGAGAGATTTTTTTCCTTTCCCAAAATATTCCCAGAAGAGAGGGAAATCAAAGGCCTGTTTTGTACATTACCTACAGTAAAAAAATCAGCTGCAAACTGATTTTGTGAGAACTCAGGGAGTTCTCACATTAATGAAGGGATTTAACTTCCCCTCTTCTCTTGGACTGGGCTTGAATTTGGGGTTTTAATCCTCTGGAGTTTTAGTTATAGTGGGATTGAGGTTTCCTGAGGATGGCAAATCTGGGATCTGCAGAAAGGTCCTGGGTGAAAAACCACCCCGATTAGTGGAGAGGTGAGCTCCCCTGCAGGCACTGAGCTGTAAACTGCAATTTAACCCCCCACCCTTCCACAGTTCTGATGGAATTTCAAAGACTTTTAAGTCATTTGCCTTTGATATGAGCTGTGTGTGACAAATCCTGAAAAATTCACTCATCTGAGCAGTTCTGAAACCCAAAGCTGCTCTGCCCTCCCCATTCCCTCCCGGATCCAAATCCCATTTTGGAGTGAAACCTGAGGAACAAGGCTGCTCTGCTCTAGATTCCTGCTTCCAATCGGGACAGGAGGATTTGCCTCAGGATATTTTCCTCTGAGGAGCTGTAAGCACGTTCAGGGCTATTTATTTCAAACAGCTTGCTCCAGTCCCCCTCCACCCTCTCCCAAATGCTTGGAGGCCAAATTTAGGTTTCAGAGATCTTGGAGCATCATTGTTTGGAGATGCTGTGTTTGATAGGATGCACTTCATCCTCTTAATAGAAATAAAGTTCATCCCACTCAGGCTCACAGAGAACTGAGGGTCTCTTTTCCTAATTACCATCACCTTCTGATTAGTAATAACCACTGTTTATATAGCTCAGCATTCTGTTGGTGCTAAAAGATGTAAATAACATTTCCTGCCAGTTTGGAACAATATGTTCACAGAGTCAGAGAGGAATGGGGATTTTCAAGGAAGTTTAGAACTCAGATTCTGCTGAGGGAGAGCTGATGGAAAGCTCATTTCACGTAAGGGACCGAGTGCACCGTGGCCCATCTTTGATGAATGCCTACAAGTGGCACTGCTGGCAGGCCATGCATCAGGAGGGGGTGACAACAGAATATTTCAGTGTTCTACATCTCTCCCAAGTAGCCTGAAGAAAGCAACTGCAATAAAAGCACTCGAGAAGCTGAGAAATGCCCCCGTGATTTATGGAGCAGCCAAGTGCCCACCTCCCCGTGGAAGTCCAGGAGGGGAATGTCTCAGCACCGGGGGAAATCTGGATTGTCACACTTGCCTTAAGCTGCATCTCATCTCATCTGTGCCCACAGCCCTCAGGTTCCTGGGGGAGGAGAAAACAAAACCACAGAGTCACGATGCAGCTGGCTCTGTGCTGCTCCAGGAGGGGGCAGGGGTGCTGTTTGTGACTGCCCCAAACTAGGAAAACTTTTAAATCCCAAATCTGCAAAGCTCTGCTTGGGCTCCGGCTGCATTTTGGGGAAGGAAAGTGCTTTTCTGGGCAAATCCCTTCTGAACAGCCTCTGAGGGGTCTGCTGGTGATTCTGGAGGGATGGTGACCAAACCTGTGGGTCACAGCAGTGTCACCTCTACTCCTGTGGGTCACAGCAGTGCCACCTCTACTCCTGTGGGTCACAGCAGTGTCACCTCTACTCCTGTGGGTCACAGCAGTGCCACCATTGCTCCTGTGGGTCACAGCAGTGCCACCTCTACTCCTGTGGGTCACAGCAGTGTCACCTCTACTCCTGTGGGTCACAGCAGTGCCACCCCTGCTCCTGTGGGTCACAGCAGTGCCACCTCTACTCCTGTGGGTCACAGCAGTGCCACCTCTACTCCTGTGGGTCACAGCAGTGCCACCCCTGCTCCTGTGGGTCACAGCAGTGCCACCTCTACTCCTGTGGGTCACAGCAGTGTCACCTCTGCTCCTGTGGGTCACAGTAGTGCCACCCCTGCTCCTGTGGGTCACAACAATGCCACCCCTGCTGCCTGAGGGCCAGGAATGCTCCTTGCTGCTGCCCAGGGATGGACTTGGGGGAGCAGATTGGAGAGCAAAGGGTGGGAGACACCCCAAAAAGTGCCAAGGGAGAAGCTCCTTCCTGGGTGGGTGGGAGGGGGGTGGCACAAGGCTGATGGAGCTGCTGCAGCTGGCAGGGAGCAGGCAGGGCCAGCAGAGCTGCTCTGCTCCTCTCAGGCTGCAGGGGCACAGGGGCACAGGGGCACAGGGGCACAGGGAGGCTCAGCTCACATCCCAGCACTGGAATCTCACTGGCAGCACATCCTCAGCAGGCACTTCCCATTAAAACCCCCCAAATCTCTTCCTCTTCCAGGCTTTAGCTGAATGCCAGCAGAAGAGAATAAATAAAACTGAGATTGTTTGCTTGGGTTTGTGTGAGTCATAAGCCTTCAGTGGCTCTGGCCTGAGCCCTGCAAACATTGCAGTCAGGAGCTCAGGGCTGGGCACATTTCATTCCCATTCAAATATATTAGAAAGATTTAAGTATTGACAAAAAGAATGTGATTGTTTGTTTTTATTAATCTGGAAATTTGTTAGAATAAACATCTTGTGCAAGCACATTAGAATATCTGGAAGTTGAATTAATTTTTAAAGCTTTTAATGAAATAATAATGTTTTACCCTGGGACTTCTACAAGCTCAGACTCTTGGTGTAGGATGTCCTTGCCTTGGGATGGACTTTCCTACCCTGGCTCATGTTCCCTTGTCTTTTTTAGCAAGTTATAAAGTAAACTACAACTCAGCACAACGTGGGAAAGACAAAATCTGCTCCTTGATTTGTAATATCCTTAGGACAGGCATTGTCTTCCCTTTGTTCTTCAAGTTTGACCTTTGAGAACCTCAGAGAGAAATAGATTTTTGAGGGTTTTTTTTTGTTTGTTTTTGAGAGTGGAAAGTAAGAGAGGGTTGGAAGTGATTTGTATGAGAGGAACAAAGGAAATGACAGTAAAAAACCTCAGTGTCTCAAGATGAATTCAGGTTATTGGCATCTGTCAAATCCTGAATTACTGAAAAGAGATAAGAATGTTCATCAACAGCTTTTTGATTTCCCTGGGAGTCCTCCCTTTTATTAGGGCAAACCTTGCCTCGGTTTGCCAGACGTGGTAATAATGATGTTATCAGTGTAACAGCCGAGACAGAAATGACAATTTGCCTTGTGTTCCTAAAAATAAATAAATAAAATAATCAAAATGCTGTGTGGAAGAGCAGACTTAAATTTTATTGGATATGGTTTGGGGCTTTTATATAGTTGGAGAAGTCTGGTTTTTACTTCAGTCCGAGTGGCTGAGTTCAGTGAATGTCTGGAATTTTCAGGTTTCTTGGAAGGATGAAGGGCAGGAATCCCAAGTGAGCTGCTGCAGCTCCAAAGGGAAGCTGATGGCACATCCCTGACCCTGGGGATAACTCCCACCTCCTGATGGGGCTGAGCAGGACATCAAACCAAGCAGTGAGGAAAAGGAACAGCCCTGCTCTCAAAGGAACACAAAAGCAGCTTTTAAAGGAAAGGTGACTGCCCTGAAACTACAAACCCTCCTTAGGAGCTGATAGAAAAAATCTCTTTGACAGCAGGAGAGCCTTGGGTTCTGTCTTTGTGTCTCATCTCCTCATCCTCCACTCACCACGCTCTTCCCACTGTTGAATTACTCCCATATTTATGTAACCCTAAATATATATTGATTTTTAAACAAACTTTCAGGCTTGCTTTTTTCCCTTTTGCCTTCAGCTTTCTTGTAAATCTCCATGCTGCCTCTCAAATTGCCTCTTCCATTTTAATTGCATTAGGGAAGAATGCAGCTCCTCTCTCTCCATTTGCATCTTTTTGATGTGAAAACATTGGGATGAAAGGTGTCCCTCCTGCTTAAACCTGGTGTGGAAAGGGCCCTTCCTCCTCCTCCCCCTGAGCTGGGGAGCAGAGGAGACATCAACTCCAGCACTTGTGCTCAGATAAAAGGGAGTGGGAGCAGTGGAAGAGGAAAAGGAGGAGGAAGGGATGGGAGAAGGCAGAAAATGCTCGGAAAAACACAGCGAGATGTTTTAGCCTTGCTGCATCTTCTATAAACTCATAGGAACAGAAGGCCAGGCTTTGAGAGTATTTAAAATAGGCCCATAAATTTATATGTATTTAATTATGGATGCTTTAAATTCTTTGGGAAATCTGCAGGTTTCAAGTCTCCTAAGTGCTGCTCAGTTTAATTCCTGGGGGTTCTGGGTCCTTTGGGGTGTGTGCTGCCCCCATGCATTGTATTTGTAGTGTCACCAGGTTTGTGGGTCTTCAACACCACAGATTTCCCTGCAAAGTCCTCACATTAAACCTCTTCGTGCCTCTTTCTTCTGTTTCCTTAACCTCCAAAGAGGAAACATGATCTGTATTCGATTTTTCCACTGGGTCACCCCAAGGAAGGACATTTGCATAAACCCCTTGTGCTTCCACCCAGTGCCAGCACTGGCACCTTAGAGAAAGGTTGGAGCAGGCCAATTAATCTTTTAATTAAGTGTACGAAACTCCAGCCCTGCTTTTATCCCAGTGAACAAGAGATCTCTGCTCTTCATTGCTGTTCAGCGTCTTCTGCCCTTGTTATTCCTGAAGAAGAGAAAAAGGCTGGGAGTTTTGGGATCGCTCATTCCAACCCTGGCCAGATCCACGAGCCAGGGGAGAGCTGTGTTCCTATAAAAGGATCAATATCTGGTGGGATCCTGATTCTCCCTGGGCTTGGAGAACTCTGTGTACAACAAAACCAGGTCATTTCAGAGCTGAACCTGATCCCATCTTCCCTCTGCTTGGAGGATTCTGAGCAAAACAATCCCATGGACGTTTTTGGGATCCAGAGGGGCTGCTGTGGGCAGGGGCTGTGCTCAGCAGGGCCAGAAATGCAAGGTGCAGCTTTCCTGGGTGTTTGTTTGACAGAAAACCCACAAGAGGCTAATTCTGATTTTATTTTTAGCCGAGTAATCCTTGAAGAGTAGATTAATTAAAGCCACAGGTGCATCTGGCTTTAGGCTCTCTTTGGAGCTGATTTTCACCCCACTGATTTTCTTGGTGACCTCTGATAGTTTAATGTGTTAATTTAGCCTAAGTGTGATTTGATAAGCAGCAGCAGCTTTGAGGGTGTGATCACAGCCTCCTCGTCACTGCCTGGTCTGGCAAATCTCAGCTTTGCTCTGTGCAAAGTCCAAACCCCTCTGGAATGGTTCCTGTTCCCAGGAGCCATGGACACACTGAACACTTGATGGATTCCCTCCCTAAAGCAGCCCCTGGAAGGCACCTGGACAGATATTTTAACCTTCTTGTCCAGGAAATGTGAGGAAAGTTTATTATCCTGAGCATTGGAATGCTCAGATGCCATTTTTAGGGTGGCTTTGCATCTCCATGAAATGCTCCCCAGAGGTGTGAGGACTGAGCTGGCACCAACATGTGAGGAGGAGACATTGGGGCTTATAATTTTCACAGGAATAATAATAATTATTATCACCATCATCATTATTATAATTATTATTTTAATCTAGAAAAGGGTCTGGTTTTTTTCCCTTTTAAGCTTGGAGAACAGTGCTGTATCCAGGGGTTCTCTGAGCATGTTCCTTCCAGGTGTTCCCTTCCAAAGAGACTGTGCCTTTTAAAAGCTCTGTTGAGGTTGTTTTTCTCCAAGCAGCAGCACTATTCCTGCTTTTGGAAGGTGGATTTTCCTGCTCAGCCATTCCTGCCACAGGAGCTTCCATCACCAGCCCAAGAGTGCACCCTGCAAAATGGGGATTCTTTGTCCCTTTGAAATGAAATTTTGTGCTTCACTCACTGCTGATTCAGTTCAGACTCATTTTTTATGCTGCTCTTCCCCTCCAAAGTCAGGGGCACTTCCATCCTGTGATTACACAGGCAGCCTGGGAATTTCCCCTTGGTCCATAATTTCGGATGTTATTCTGTGCAAACACAAGCCCTGCAGTGAGCAGTCCCCAAACCTGCACTGAGCTTAAATTGCTCAGTGATTTTTTTTCCCCATTTGCTGTTTTTAGGCTCTGTTTGCCCCAAAGTTACAGGATTTTGGAGCCAGGACAAGCAGTTCAGGCAGAGGTGGATGATTAATTGCTGAGTTAGAAGGGAGGTGGAATCTGATAGCTGTTTATAGTTGAACTCAAATGAAAATCCCAAACCTAAGAACCCTCATAAAACACAACCCTAAGCCAATCAATGGCCCTTTTGTTCAATTCTCATTTTGTGTGCAGGTGAAGGAGGGATTTAATTCCGACCTAATTATGAAGGGATGAACAAATCAGATCTGGTTTTGTGCCCCCCTCCCTATTTAATCTCTCCTTTCCCATTTTCTCCTGCCCTACCAGGAGCAGGGGAATCTATTACAGCTGGGACACTGCAGTCTTTCTCTCGGATCTAAAATCTGACTGAAACTCCTGCAGGAATACATTTCTTTTTAAAAATATTGCAAAAGACCAAGAGATTTGCTTTCTTTGAACATTCCAGTTTTCATCCATCTCCTTTCAAAAGAAAACTCTCCTGCTCTTGATGGACAGGCCCAGCCTAGGACTGCAATAAATTCACTACTCAGGGAATTTCACCTTTAAATTGTGCAGGAAAAGAAGAAGTTAAAGGGTGGGAGGGAGCTGGGGCTGGGAGGGGGAGTGATGAGTGTCAGTTTAGAGGCAGCTACTTTGTCTGTACATTTCTGGAATAAAAGCACATTTCTTTTCCCAGCGCACAGACTGGGAATAGTTTCTGTGGGATCTGGGAGCTGCAGGGGAGCAGGAGCACCCAGGGAGCTGAGCTGCTGTGCAGTGAATGGTCCCAGCGCCGAGGCTGAAGGAGGCGAGGAGGGAATAAAGACTGGGAGCGTTCCGTGCTCCAGCACCGCCTTTCCTTTGAGCTCCCAACCCCATTCCAGCCGGGAACAGCGATGTGGGTTTGGGGAATGGCTGGGACATGGCCACAGCAGCACTGCTGGGGCTGGGAGGGCTCGGGCACCCCCAGGGGCTCAGCTCGGGGGGCAGGAGGGAGGGATGGGAGGGCTCAGGGATCTCTGAGCAGGGATGGAGAGCAGGGGCAGGTGTGCCCAGGGGTGCCCGCTACACCTTTGGGACCGGGGTGCCGCTCCCGGGGAAGCTCCGGCAGCCGAGAAGAGGGGCACCCACCCCGGAGGGTCCCACCGGGCACACCAGGGCGGAGCAGGAGCCCCGTGGGGACCACGAGTGGCCTCAGGTCGGGCCGGGGGCAGCCCTGGAGCCTGCCAGGGACCGTGCGAGTGGCACACGGTGCTGCCGCGCCGTGCCAGCTGCGCACCCGTGCCGTGCCGTGCCAGCTGCGCACCGGTCCCACGCTGCCTGGCGCGGTGCCGTGCCAGCCTCACAGCCCAGGCACCGCCGTGCCGTGCCAGCCGGAGCGCTGATGCCGTGCCAGCCTCGCACGCAGGTATCTCAGTGCCGTGCCGTGCCAGCCCGCCCCGGTACCGTGCCGTGCCATTCAGCCTGCACGCCGGTCCCGCGCTGCCCGGTGCTGTGCCGTGCCTGTCCCGTGCCAGCCTCCCACACGGCATCTCGGTGCCGTGACAGCCGTGCCAGCCGTGTCCCCGCGGGGCCGGGATGCAGCGGAGCATCCCCGGGCTGTGCCGCAGGCGCTGCCCGCGCCGCCGCTCCCGGAGCCGGCTCCGGAGGCGCATCCCTCGGGCAGGGCACAGTGCCCTGGGCACCGCGGGCAGGGCACGGCGCTGGGGCTGGGCTGGGGCCGCTCCGGGATCGCCCCTCTGCCCTTCCCTCCCTCCCATCCTCCCTGCCGCGCCCGCGGCTCCGCACAAAGGAGCCCCGCAGCCGCTCACTCACCTGCTCCGGCCGCGTCCTGTGCTCCGGGGCTGCCGGCGGCTGGCAGCCCGGGCAGGGAGCCCCGAGCCGGGCACGGAGCCCCGAGCCGGGCAGGGAGCCCCGAGGCCGGGCAGGGAGCCCCGAGCCGGTGCCGCAGCTGCAGCGAGGGTGGGAGCGCTCCACACCCCCTCGGCAGCACCATCTGAGCCCAGCCGAATTTGTCAACTTTATTTAGGGGGAAGAATGGATCACATGGGAGCCTCTCCGAGCTGGGAGGAGCGTGCGGTGCGGAATCAGGTCAGCGACAGAAACCCGAGCTAGCCGCGGCCACCGGCAGAGAGAGCCTGAGACAAAGGCAGGGGAGCTGACGGGAATTCCGCCGCTTTCTCCCCTTCTCTGGCCATTAAACCGGTAATTTCGCGCTCCTTTCATCAGGTCAGGTTTCCTAATCAAGCACGAAATAGAGTGCGATGTGCAAGAAACCTTTTCAGCTTCCGAGCGCTTTTGAGCAGGTTTATCCTGTCCAGCATTCCCACAGCCTTTCCTCTGCCCGTTTCTGGCTCTGTCCTGCTGTGCTGCATTGATCCAGCCCCAGAGAAATGGATGCTGGACCCATTCCCAAGCACCACATCCAGCAGTGTCCCGGTGGAATATCCACCTCTGCCTCAAAGCTTTAATTTGCATCTCCTGCTCAGACAAAGGCTGGAGGCTGCTGCCCGATCCCCACTGCCCCACGGGCTGAGGAATCCTTGTGGAGCTGCACCTTTTCCTGCTCTTTCTCATTCATTAATGGCTAGCAAAGCTTCCAAGCACAGGTAAACACGAATTTTGCCCCCCTGCTTGCTGCCAGGACCGCAGCAGGATCCGTGTGACTTTTAATATCATTGTTTATTTCATCAGCACACATTGCCAAAGAGCTGTGGTGGGTTTGGGTTATTCAGAGGCCAGGATTCAAGTGTGGATCCCTAAATACACACGGATCTTGTGAAGGAGTGGGCCTGACTTTTATAGGCGCTAAGCAACTGTTCTTCTGCATTTCCATCTGCCTTGAAGTCACATCCCACCCTCTCCACCTTCCTCATGTCCACACTTCGAGACAGAAATGAGCTTTGCAAAGTAGGCTGGCTCCTTCCTCTGCTTCCAGGAGCTTTCTGCCCAAAGGAAACTCCACCCTGCCCCACAGAAAATCCATCCTGAAGCAGGACACCGGATGGAAGGGAATTGGGAGCCAGGGGAGTTGCCACTGGTGTGTCCAGGGAGGGTAAAAACCCAGGGGAGGGCATCTGCTGCAGCCAAAAATGGCTCAAGCAGCCATGGAACAAGTGGCAGCTGCCTACAGAGGGACTTTCCTTCCTTCAGCTTGCAGAAAATTATCCAGCCTTGGCACTTAAAGGCTGGAACAGTCAAAATGTTGATTCTTGGCAACTTCTTAATGAAGCCTCTGGATTAGAGAGGATGTAAATGAGGATATCACACCAGGAAAACAATCCTCACTCCAGAGAGCACCCAAAGGCAAAACTGAGTCCCTTGGTGGGCACTGCAGTCCTGGCTGGAGCAGAACTTCCCATTCCTTGCTTTCCTCTCCCCAGAACAGGGGAAAGCTCTCCCAGGCTCCTGCTTCCCGTGGCTCCAGAGGCTCCAGGGAGTGCAGCTGCCCCTGCTGGAGGAAGAATTCAGCCCCAGCTGGTTCCTTGGAGGGCAAATCAACGAGTGCAGGGAGCTCTTTGCAGCTTTGCTCCAGCACAGCCCAGCCTGGGCCTGGCCCAGGGAAATGGGAGTGCCTTAGGTTGGAAATGGGGCTGTGTGTTCAATTCCCATCTGCCAGAGCTGGGGCAGCTCTCTGCTGTTCTTTGGGCAATTTTCTTTATCTCTCCCACAACCAATCCTCCCTCCAGGAGATCTCTTCTGTTCATGGGCCATTAATTATTAATTATCTCCTGTTCATGGCCAGTGAGTGTCCCTGCATGGCTGAGAAAATTCCATCATCCCATGGGGAGATGCGCTGCCCAGGGGAGGAGCCAAACATTCCTACCTGGATCCAATCTGACCTGGGAACAGCACAGCAGCCTTTGCCCCCTGCATTCCCAGAGGAGCAGCTTTCTTCCCACTGCATTCCCAGAGGAGCAGCTTTCTTCCCACTGCATTCCCAGAGGAGCAGCTGATTTATTAAAAATATGGATATTGATCTAGTACCGATATCCAACTGTGACGGACAAAAACTCTCTAGCAGTTTAAAGTTAGAAAGTGAATGTTTATTCGACACTGGGCAGCGTGTGGGATCGCTCCCAAATCCACACCGCAGCTTCCAGGTGATTACAGAGCCTTTTTATCCATACAAGTATTGACTACACAAAATACAAATACATATTCATCATTTTGGTACATCCCATTCTTTGCTTCGTATGCTAATCACTCCAAAAGCCGTTCAGCAGGCGTAGTTTGTCCCTTGAAATGGGGCAGTGTCCCATCTATGGGGAGGGGTCCCAAAATGAGGAAGTCAATGAAGTCTTCCTTGTTCTGACCTTTCTACCTTTTCAATGCAAATATGACAAATGAACTCTTGGTAGAACTCCCATTCCTTGTCTTCAGTTGGTTTCAGAACAGAGGAGGCCACAATTGTCTTATGTTCCCAAAAGCTATTTGTCAGTTTATATTCTTCATTATAAACCCAGCTACTAAACATTGTGCTGACAAGCAATCAATTATTAGTTAACTACTAACTCCTAACTTCATCAAGGCCTACTCATTTATTATTATTATTATAATTAACTCTAGTAAGGCTTATTTCTGACTAAAATCTTAGCTCCTATAAAATCTCTACATTCCTTAAAGTTTACGTTTCACAGCTTCCTTCCCACTGCATTCCCAGAGGAGCAGCTTCCTTCCCAGTGCATTCCCAGAGGAGCCCAGGCCCATCTCCCCCAGCCCTGGAGCTCCAGAGGAAAACTCCCCCCTTGTGCAGGATCCTGCTCCAGCAGAAGCACAGCTGGCACTGCAGGAGGGCTGAGCCACCCTGGGATGGGACTGCTGCCACCTCCCTGACACACAGCCTGCCAGGGCTGCTCTGACTCTGGCAGTGGTTTGGGGTTTTTTTGTATTTTTTATTTTGTATTTTTTATTATTCCTAGTGAAGAGCTGCTATTCCTACTCCCATATCTTTGCCTGAGAGCCCCTTAATTTCAAAATTATAATAATTCAGAAGAAGTGGGTTTACATTTTCCATTTCAAGGGAGGCTCCTGCCTTCCTTAGAAGACACCTGGCTTTTCAAACCAAGACAGGGAGATTTCCCCAGGAAAACCTGGGGGTTGGGACCTGGGGACTGAGCTTGCTGTGCAGCTTCCCTTTGGCCTGGATTTCAGCCCAGGGAGGATCCAGCCCCCTGCACAGCTGCTCCAGGTGTTTGAGGTTATTTCGTGACAATCTCTCTGCATTGCCAGGCAGCAGGAGACCTGTCAAAGGCTCTTCCAGCCCTGGCCACCTCTCATTTATCTTTCATCCCCAAGTTCTTTCTTCCTCACCAACTGAAGTTTTCTGTCTCCTGCACTTCATGAAACTTTCCTTTTATATTTTTATACACTGCTGCTTGCTGAAGTGTCTGATGTCAAGTGAAAATCTATACATAATGTGTGTTTCAGTGCATATTTATATAAATTCACCCATATACATATGCAAAGACCTGGGAATGCAAATTCCTCCCTGTTTGCATTGGTGTAAGGGGAGTTTTTCCTCTGGTTTTATTACATTTCACTCTCCCCAACACTTTGCCAATGAGCTCAGCCTATAAGGAATGTCTGAAAAGATTTTAATATATTTTTATGCTACATTTAAGCTTTTCTTCAAATGCTTGCTTTTAATCCTCTATGACTAATCCAGTCAAATTCCTCACACTATCAGATTTCCACTTCCTGAATCTCCTCTATTTTAAGGCTTGCCACAGGTCAGGAATTGTATCAGTAACCTGAAGATTGTGGCTCTCAGGGAGCTGTTGACAGGGATAGGGACAGTGTTGATTTGGCATAGCTCTGTCTCCTCCAGGAAAATTTACAATGCCCAGAAAATCTGGAAAACCTTGATTTCAGTAAGACTTTAGGAAGGAATTCTGGGCTGTGAGGCCAGTGGCTCCTCCCTCAGCTCTCATTCCCACTGCCACTGTCCCTCATTCTGTCCTGCTGTCCCCATCTCTCCCGAGGCCAGATTTGCTATCCCAAATTAATCAGCACTTTTACAACACAGCAGCTTCCTAACAATTTTTTCACCAGTCAGTCGAGATAAAAACAGGACAATAAATTAATCCAAATGCATTTGTAATGTGAACCTTGGAAAAGCCAGGAATAAATTAACAACCTGTACTCATGAGTTTGGTGAAGTAAAGTGGGTTAAACGAAGCAGGGAGGAAATGATCTTGTTCTGCAATAAAACATTCAATCAGGGAGGTGCTCAGCTGTTCCTGAGTAACCCCTGAGGAGGGAAGGCACCAGAAATGGGCTGCACAACAAGAGAAAACACAGATGAAATTGCTGCTCATTAATTTAGAATCCTCCCCCCAGGCAGGCAGGGTCCTGCAGGAAGGTGTCCCCCAGCAGATGCTCCATGGAGAGGAGGTGGCACTGGAGGCTGGGGCTGCACCTTCCCCCTGGGATCTCTGACCCTGGAACATCCCAATGTTCTCTGAGCGCGTTCACTGGGCTTTTGTGAGCTGCAATGTTGGGTGTGAGGTACAGAAATGTTGTTCTGGAGTGGAGCTGGGTGGGTTTTCACACTCCTGCTGTCAGGGCTCTGAGGGAGAGGCAGCTGGTGTGCTAAAACAAGGGATGGACTTTGGAATGCTGCAAGGTTAGGGACTGCGGGGCTGGAGGCAGGGATGACACAAATGTCAGCTTTCCTGGCTGGGATGACACAAATGTCAGGTCTCCTGGCTGCCCACTCCTCCCACTGATCCCCCACGCTGTTTTCTGGAGCAAAGTGTAAATAAACACTTGCTGGGAGGTGTTTGGTGGCTCTGCTGGCACTGGCTCTGTGGGTTCTCCGTCTGATGTTCTTCCCAAATACAAATTTGGGGTCTCCAGTTGCCAGCTCCAAGGGCCAGACTGGTGGAAGTGGGAGCAGAACTGGGTGAACTGGGCTCTGCCCCAGTTTGGGGCAGGACAGAGGCCAGCATCCACCCCGAGAGCCCTGTGGGGCTGAATAAAGGCAAAACACCAATATTTGGGTTCATCATTAGCATGGGCAGGGACATGTTGGGCTGCAGGGAACAGGGCTGGTAAATAGGAACTTGTGGGGTTTCATTATTTGCTTTGAAATAAATGAGGTTTTAATCCATCTCCTTAGTTAGGGAAATTGTTATTTTGGAGTCCGTCTGCTCTGTTTGTTCTGAGTGTAAATGGAAAGTGATTCTTTGCTCTAAATCTCCTAATCTTGACACAAAAGCAGGAGCAGTAGGTTTAACCCCTGAGGAAGAGCAGGAGGTGTGACATTGCAGCAAGGCCTGGAAATCCATGATTAATGCTTTAGGGGTTTTAATTAATCTCCCATTTCATAATGGAGGATCAGTGGTCAAGGAACTTCTCCAGAGCCACTCCTGGCAGTGGGATACAAGGTGATAGGAGTGGGAAGAGGCAGCAGGAATGTTTTGCCCAGAACCCAGCAGGGGTTACCTGGCTAAATCTGTGGGGTTGAAGGCTTGCCTTCCTCATCATCTCTGAGGAAATCTCCAAGGGCCTGAGGGGCTCCAGGAGAGCTGGAGAGGGGCTGGGGACAGGGGATGGAGGGACAGGACACAGG